GTAAAGACCCATCCAATAAGGAACCGAAGGTAGAGATTGAAGACCAGATGGACGAGAGTGCCGAGCAGCCGTTTCAGGAGCGAGATTTTGAAGAGTTTGATAAAGAAAAGCCATTACAGGAGACTCAAGGACCAGGAAAAGCGCAAGGAACAGAGGAAGAGGACACAAGACAAATCAAAGAAGACGAAGAAGAGCTTTCTGAAGGGAAGCCACTTCAAGAAAGCGCCAGCTCTGACGTAGAAACTGAAAGTTGCAAAGAGGAAGCCATACCCACTCAAGAAACCATGGCCGCGGGTAAAGGGCCTTTTGAGGAGACTGGGCTCGAGGTGGGCGTCAAGGGACAACCAACAGACGAGCAAGAGTAGTAACGGCTTCAATTTCTCTGATATTCGATACCAATCCTTAAACATGATGCTCAAAAGCTTCTTGTCTTGAACGTTCTCACGATGAACCACAAATGGGAGCTTACTTTAATTCTGTGTCAAAATTAAGGCTTCCAGTTATTTTTTTTCTTTCGTAAGTTTTTTTTTAACTTGCCGTTTCTTTGGTGTGAATGGGGCATAAATGATAATAATCAATTTCTTTTAATAAATTAATTTATCGAGAAAAGCCACAATAGCGATAGCTGTCCTTTATATGTTGGATTGATTTGGAACTTCGTAATGTTGGTTTTTGGGAAGGAATGAAAACCTGGGCAGTCGGAGAAACACCCTTAGAATTAGAAGAGAACCAACGATAAATGCCCACTAAGACTCTGGGTAATTTAAAACTTTATTTAATCACGGTAGTTTTGATCAATAAATTTACAATTTTTGTTATTCACAAAAGCCGTGCAAGTAAAAAAGGACTAGTTACAATAAATTAAATGTATTAATATTAATGAAGTTACACTTGTGACCAAACATGTGTGGCTGTGATCATTCCCAATGTCTTAAAAAAATTATAATTACAATAACAATTAACACTGCTGGTCCTGAAATGCACAACGTTTGAGAGTTTGGTGGAAAATAAAGATGGCATATCTTAGTTGATGACTTCTTGACAGAGTATTAATATTGTAAGAATAATTAAAAATATTTAACAAATAAAGAAGGCAAAGCCATGTATCATACTATCAAAAAACACGATGGGAATTTGAGAACACAAGAGAAGCAGGCGAGTATTTTCTACGTTTCTCAAGTGTTCTCAAATAACCGGCCGGAGTGTTTTATGACAGTATAATACATGGCCTTCTTTATATGCTTATGATTTTAAAGGGGCTGTGTCACGCTACTTTTTGCTATTCTTCCCTGTATTCGTTTTTTACGAGTTTTTAACTCAAACATGTCAATGAAGTATTAATTCAAAGATGGAATCTCACTTACATAACAAACACAGATGATTTCTAAGCATTATTTACCACTTGTTTCACACAAATGTACTTAACTTGAAAAACGACTGGCCGTCGTTTTTCAAGTTAACCTTTTCGCAATCAGTTTCAATCTTGTCTGATAAAACATGGTTTTTATAACCAACCAGGGCGTGTGCAGATTCCAGACTATATTATAATGGGAAATAGAAGGTTTAAAAGTTCTACAATAATTATTATAATTGGACGACGTTGAGAAAAATATCGTGATTTGTCAGAGGCAAGCAAACTTTCATCTTCATTTTATTCCAATTCGTTGTGTGTTCGTTCGGTACTGCAATTAGATGCATCGAGCGTGGCCAATTTCTTCAGAGAACACTATTCAATTTTTGTCTTCTACGTAAACGGATTGGTCACTGGATATCTAACCGGATACGGCTTATTTTTACTAATTTTTGGTGAATTTTAAGGGACACTTCTTGATATATATATATTTTAAATTCTAATGGCGGTATTGAATATTCGCAAAGGTAACTGAGAATAAGGTAATTACAATTAATTTTTGTTTAAAAAACGTTGTTCTGCACTCGAACCCCACTCACTGGCCGCTGCTTATGGGGCCACATTTCTCTGAACTTGTCTTAGAAACTGTAAGAACGTAGGCAGCTTGGCCACAATCTGCTCTGGTTCCCAGTTTCCTTCATCAAGTAATTGGTCCCATTCTTCACAGTGAAGATGTATATCCGTCTACGCAGCAAAACAAAACAAAACAAAAGTTTTAAAATTAATTTATGTCTGTGATTGATTGATAACCAATGTAAATATTATTGATATTAATATTTTTGGGTACCACTTGTTACCTATCGATGACTGACTGACTGGTTAGCTGGCTGATGTACTGACTCGAACGGACAATAAGGAAACCTATTAGGAAGTGAGGATTTATAACGGTGACGAAAATGGAAATGAATACGAGCGATGAGGATTACGTTTTCAAGTTTGGCTCGAGTCCTCTGAATCATAGAAGGCACAGAGTTTCATAAATTGCGGGAACATTTTCGTTATTTAATAACGTTTTGAGAAAATACCTGATGACAATGCTCCTTCGATCATTCATATCAAATTAATCCAGGTTAGGTTTTGAGAATTAAAACACAATACCTTAGTGGCTGTTTCATCGAAACCGCTCGCATCAGTCTCGACGGGATCCACGGTTTTTTCCTGATCTTTACAAACAGTCAAATTAAACTGTTCCCCATCCATTTCATACTGATATGTCCTTCTCAGACTGCGACGCTTGTAAGACAGGTCAAACCCGTCTGGAATCTCAGAGACTGGCGGCAAAGTCAGTTGATCTTCATTGATCTTCATTCCCATGAGATAACTTGCTAGAATTTTGTCTTCTTCTTCAGCTTGAGGCGTCTTTGGAACATAGTTTCGGCCTAGAGAAAATCAATATCAGAAAAGTAACGCAGATTAAGGCAGTTCTTCTTTTTAATTTTTGGCCCCAGTAAAGTTGCCTGCCCCATAAAAATTACTTAACATTTAGGCCTGTTTACACGAACACAGTTTCAAATCTACACGGTTACATGATTTCGTAACCGTGCTCAAAGGTATACGGATACAAAGCGTTTACACGAAAACGATTTTTCCGTTTTAGTGCTGTTACGTCATGGGCGTGAAAGATTCCGCTAGATGGAATCTGGACACGATAATACCTTGAAGCTACACCGCAAAATAAAGTAATTACGGCTAAAACCAAGCTGCGTTCACCATTTTAAGCCAGGCATTTTCGCGCCAAAAAACAATCGTTTTCAAATCTACACGGTTACCCCGTTTACACGGCACTCGTAACCGTATCGTTTTGAAAACGCTCCACTTTGTACACGGTCACACATCGTTTCCGTGTAAACGGAAGGTGTAACCGTATACAAAACGATACGGTTACAAATGAAACCGTGTTCGTGTAAACGGGGCCTATTATACAATTATCAGCTGCAAAATCGAGCGAAATATCGCCTGACTAAAATCAGACGATATTCCGCAAGATTGAGCAAAGGTACCAGAGCAAATGAAAACTATTAATGATTGCTTGTTTCCCCTCAATTTCTTACATGTTCTTATCAATAAACGGTAATCAAATTCCTTGGAAACCATCAAGATGTCCACTTTCATTCTCTGCTGAAACTGAGAGCACATGTAAAAGCAAGGCGTGTTTGATGAATCCCCCTGCTCATCCGACAACGCGTGAGTTAGGATATTCTTAACACGAATGGGTGCGCTGCGAGAAAACGCCATGGAGGTTGTCTCGTCTCCTTCCTGCCCAGCATCTTTCTCGGTAAGCCATATCTGGTAAGATAACAAAATGAGAGAAGAGAAGCGCATAATGGCGTTATTACACCACAACGTAAACCGAAAAAATAATTTCAGCTTGACAATTTTTTTAAGAAACTTGTATAAATTGGTGGTTTTCATCAACGTTACAAAAACTGTTTGCTTGCATGAACAACATCAGAAAATTAACAGGTAAAAGAACTGGCGGAAAGAAACGTTTTGTCCAAATTATGGCTTTGTAGCGTTTTTCATAACCGAGTTATTACCAAACGAGTTTTTAGAAAATTACAATACTTAGTATGCCGCCGCCATGTTTGTGTCCTTCAGAGGGGCACAAATATGGCCGCCATAAAATTGCACAAGAAGTAGAGTAGATTATACCGTCAATATCATTAGTTTTCACTTCAAATCTGTTTAGACATCACTTCTAAATTATTATCACGTCTAAAAATTTAAAAATGACATAATAAAAATATCCGTTTTTGTGACAGTTCAGAAACACGTTCATCCGGGACTTCACAAATTTCAAAATGCTCTATTTCCAAAACGAAGCACTGGATCGATACCAAACTTTTCATAGAGATTAATGATTTTCATGTCTAGAAGATATAAAAATAATAGCTTTGCAGGATTGACAGTTTAGATTTTAGAATTTTGATGACGTCAGATGAAAAAATAGAATATTTAAAAAATGTCGATTTGTGGTTTTCGAGATTCATATGCAAATAAACTTTTTACAGTGTAATAAGTATAGGAAATCGTATGAACGCGAGTGCAATTCGTGATTTATGGGCACGAGTGATGTTTTGAAAGTTCTCAAAATTGCACGAGCCTTTAGGCGAGTGCAATTTGAGAACTTTCAAAACATCACGAGTGACCATAAATCACTAATTGCACGAGCAGTTCATACGATTTTTTGTTTATAATATTCTCAACAAAATTTTTCTGCGGCCATCACGCTACTCTGCACACGAAACGCTTCACTAGTTTCCAAAGTGCTCACATGTTTTATTTGAACGCGCAGGCAAACCAAGCGTGAACTTATTGAAAGAGTTACAGTACTATAGTTTAGAAAACAATTAACCATTAACTGTAAAGCTTATTTCAATGCCATTAAGCGGCAAAAACGTCTCTTCTTGTCCGGTACCGTTTATCGCAATTCCGTATTGCACTCTATAACCTATTTATGCATTCGTCATTGACCAATCAGAAGCTGCATATTTTGTTGAGTATATTATAAGGTATATCTTCTCTTGGGTATATCCTGAAATAAATGAAGAAATGCTCTCAAGTCGAAATACTCAGAAAAAATTATGAGTTCCCCAACGGGAATCGAACCCACGAACTTCCAGGTGCCGGTTGGATGCTCTAACCACTGATCTCTATACCGAGGACTCGTGGTGAGCAAGGCCATACAACTAGGTTCTTATGGGACACATCCATGATTGTCCTGCCATCAAGCAAGGCTCAAATAGTGTCAAAGTGAAAATAAGAACTTCAGTAAATGTAGGGTTTGCGTTTACATTTTAAGGTATATCCTGGCCCGATCTATCGTCAGCCGTTAGTTCCAAAGTGGAGAAAAACCGTTTCAGGTTATGATAAGAAGGAAACATTTTCCGACCAGTACCATTTGGAAACGAATCTGAAATTAAGACTCATTTATTTTAATTATACATGACTCATTTTTGTCGGAATTAAACGTATCCACCAGTGACTACATTTTACCCCAACCCACACAGTTATATATTATTTTCTACTTGAACAAATATTTGAATTCGAAATAATAAAACGTTTTAAAAATATACCTTAACACGAACATCCTCTATAAGATGGAGTGTAGAAGGTGAAGTCGTGTCTTATGTCCTCCTTAACCGCACGGGATTTGAGATGTTTTTCAATTTGCTCGACTTCCATATCTTCTAAGCCTGCTTTGAAGGATGGATTCCAACTTTTTTTATTCTCAAGCTTTTCTTTGATTTCCTCAAGAGTAAAATATTCCTCTTCTTCGTCACCTGCAACAGAATATATCAAAGGCAAACTATTACATTCCACGTGAACATTCAATTATCTATAAGCTGGTTCACAACAAGCGTAAAAACCAGTGTTTGCCTCTCAAGTCTTTTTTTTTAGAGCGATATGGTTGATGGTTTTTGAATATTTATCTATGTGCAAAACTTGACTTATGACTGAAGACTAGCTGGGAAACCCATGGTTTTGTTATCTCGATCCACCGAGTGTACACGTACGTGGCTCTGCTGTAAATTTGTAAAAAAAAATAGTTATCGACAGCTATTTATTACCAGAAATATGCTTTATCTTACAATCCCATTTATCCTCGCGTTTTGATACGTTTGGCTTGACTCAACGCGCCGAAGCCTTGAGCCTGCGCAGTACGGACTGTAAATCATCAAAACGTGTATGCGAACATTGCACCACGGATATACGATCGGAAGCTATGATTCTCTCTTTTTTTTTTTTTTTTTTTTTTTTTCCGTTTCGCTATTCAGATTATCCGGCCGAAGATTACACTTCCGATCATTTGTCGACAAACCGCTCTCTATACGGACTACAGTAGCCGCAAAATACTGAATATTTCTCTCACCTTCATTAACCTTAGGTATGTAAGAGTGGCCAAGATGACACCATATGCTTACTTTGACCATCTCCTCCTCATCCTCTTTTTCTTTGTGAATTTCCCTTAACACCATGAGAAGTTTATCTTTCAATCTGTCTATGTCAGTGAAGCCAGAGGACGTTTCCTGTTATAAATTAACGATTTCAAAAGTATGCATGTGAATTATCAGTCCACATCAGCTCCTCGATCATTGCCCGCTATTCTAGGCATGCAGTTTAATTATAATTATTTGGACTTCCCGCCCAGATCAAGAGGGAAGATCAAAAGCCAATGAACACGATGAAGGGTTAGGATTGCATTATGATTCGGCCCGAAATGGAGCGGTACAGAATACGTGACAATGTCTTCTTTCGTTGTTGGATGAATGATATCAAGCCGGCAATCATTTACGTTTTGCTGTATTGAGTGCAGGAAAAAATATCAGGGAACACTGTAGGAATTTGATGTACACACAATCAATAATGACAGGGGCACAACGACGGTTTTCTCCCAAATGCTTTAAAACACTGTTTTAGGCTGTCTGGTGTGCTTTTAAAGATCTATAAATGAATTCTAAGCTGCGCTATAAAATTTATATCTGTTCGGTCATTCTAGGGGAACTTTAGACTTCACGAATTTATTAGGGCTTTTTTAGTCATTTCCCGAAAACCTCAGCTCTTCCTTGCTGATTTTTCCTTTCCGAAAATCCTAGCTGACTTTTTTTCCTTTCCGAAAATCCTAGCTGACCTTTTTTGTACCCAAAACGAATTTTTTATCTCTCCGAAAATAATAGGCATTAATTTTTCCATATTAAGAAAGTTCGAGATGATATTTCCCTAGCTAAAGAAAACTCCAAACTTTAATCCGAATATTTGAGGCGATTATAGGCCTTCCGAACAGATATTTCGCCGAAACGATCCGTTGGGTGCCCCTGATAATGAGCCCTGTGACCTGGGATGAATATCAGTCTGATAGCCGATATGCTGTTTCGATGCCGTTAAATAAAAAATTACTGACTGCTGCGTGCGTATCTGCCGTAACTATAATATTTACGAGGAGCACCGTGGAATTTTGTGCAGATCTTTTTGCCCATGGATGGAGTAAAGTTTACGACTTAGGATGCGTTCTCTTCCTACATCATGTACACAAAATTATAACAATATTTTAACAATGCTCGGCTGAGTTTATGATTTGACTAAAATTACCTCTACATCTTGTGAAGGATTCTCCAGTAGTTTCAATTTATAGTTTTTAGACTCGTCAGAGTGACAGGCATTTGTAGGTTGTGCGCTGCATAGCTCAAGAATGAACTCGTGGTCCAGTTCCGGATCCAACTGGGTCGTGTCCACATGAACAAACCGCACTGTGCGTCTTGACCGTTTTCGTCAAACGGTTCTTATTGAGAATAAAAATAAATAATATTACAAATAACGATCAATGGAATTATAGGTCGGCTCCGCAATGACTGACTACCTTATTATAGGAAATTAACGCTCCATGAAATTAACGCGAATTTGAAAAATTCGCGTTAATTTCAGTCGCGTTAATTTTTGTGAGCGTTAATTTCCGCAACATCAATTAAGTGGAGCGTTAATTTCCACGACCTTAATTTCCATTATTATAACCCCAAATTCTGAATCCTGTGCAGACACATTTGACAACTAGGAAACTCTATTTTTTGCACTGTATTTCAATCTTTTACAATGTAAAAGCCTAAAGCCTAAATTACAATATTTCTAGTTCACCCTCGCTTGCAGAAGAGCAATTCTCGACATCTGAGTTTTAATATTTCGGCCAAAATATATTTATTTCTTTGCGTTAATCGCGTTAATTTCCATCATTGTGGAATTTTACCTCCTCTTTCGCGTTAATTTCCTTTATTTGGAAGTAATTGTCCGTCCAATTTTCATTTGTCCTCAAGCTGTATCAGTCAAAATTTATAGATATTATTCCAGTCCTTGTTAACTGAATATATAAAGCCCAAGGCTTCACGTGAGACTTTGCCGCAATTGGACGTTTCCACTAAACAACTCAAGGCAAAAATAAATAAATAAGGTCATTGTTGTATAGTTCTAGTCAAATGAACCCATCGAGAGCAAATCACCTACAATTGACAACTTTTTGAATTCCAAGATCCCTACTTGACTTACATATATGCACGGCATCATCGAGTCGCTTTTTCACCTCAAAGCCATAGACAATAGAGCATTGAACTGTAATAATATAAACTTCACAATGGTGGAGCCATTATTTATCTGACTTACGAAGGGAAAGAACTGATCAAAATTCCTTTTTTCAGTTCAGTACTCATTGTCGTGCATGCGTCCCATTCGGTAGGTGTTGCCGATATAATGCATGACATGCAGTTGAACTGGATATTGTTTGGACTCCGGATCGGTAAGTCTTACTCTCTCACCAACCCTGTTCCCTTGATCATTCTATCTCGAGTGATATCCAGGGGACGGAAGAGAGAAAGATCCTGTGAACAAGGTTAATGTGCTCTCGCAGTGCCTCCCTTCACCCCGGTGTATGTATGGGTTATTGACCAAGCTTACTCGGTTAAGATGGCAGGATATTGGCCAAGTTCATTTCTGCGTGTTTATGGACCGAGACGAACAGTTTCCCTCATAGCAAGACTTACCACGATTTCCTTTATTTCCCGAATAGCTCTCTTTTGACTCTCATTAGATCCCTTGATATAGAGACTATTCCTTTCGAAGACTTTCAAAGTTGCGTCAGTAATTTTTTCTATGTTTTCCAAACTCTGCCGGTTTTTTCCAATAACTTGACCCATATATTTCTCGGGTATGAAGTCCAGCTTTTTCCAAGAGCCTTGACCAGGGCTGTCTTCTCCCTGGGTATCGGAATGAACAAATGAACAAACGAACCGGTATATATATATCTAAGTGGATTTGAAAGAACGTGGCCGCAGAAAATTGCACCATTTTGACCATTGTGGCGCTTCTTTCCTTTTTTGTCGTTCAGAAACTACCCCCAAAGTAGAATCGTCACAAAATTACTTTGACATGCAACCCATGGACAAAGGATAGATCTTCGCAATCATGCATCCGGTTTGGAAATCGAACGAATTCCGCTAAAGTTACGCCAGAAAAAACCTGTTGAACTTTTGGTGCAAAATCAGTGCCAAATTGGGCTCACACAACATTCTTCCACATTCATTTCTTGGCTTCCTGAAAGGTTAGTTCAAAACTTTTTCAGCTGATGGAAAGCGCATACGAAGCCGAAGATAGCAAGAAAAGAAATGGAGAGAGAGAACAAAATAAAACGGAGGATGAAGAAAGAAATGACAATGGAAACCTTGTCCAAAGTAACACAAGCTTGCACCAAGGATAATTTGAAACCATTTCACTCAGAAACGATATAAACATCTTTCCGGCGTTCACAAATACGGGTTCTTAGCTAAGGAAACGCCAAATTTGGCCAAAGAGACAACCCAAAAACCACTTTTTTAAGCCCAAAACGCGTTTTTCGCTCATTTTGCTGAAATTTTCTGCGGGCACGTTCTTTCAAATCCACTTAGATATATAAAGGAAGGTAGGTCGTTCTTTCAAATCCACTTAGATATATAAAGGAAGGTAGGTAGGTAGGTAGGTAGGTAGGTAAGTAAGTAAGTAAGTAAGTAAAGAAGGAAGGAAGAAAGGAAGGTATAATACGTAGGTAGGTAGGTAGGTGGAAGGAAGGAAGAAAGAAAGGAAGGTAGGTCGGTAGGTTGATAAGGAACGAAGGTAGGTAGGTAAGGAAGGAACGAAGGTGGGTAGG